TGCCTCCTGCTTGTCTGTTGGCATAGCACTGGCCTTTGCCACCTGGTCTGGGCGAGGGAGGTCAGGTGGTCCTCTGGTCACTGGCTCCTGCTGACCCCTGGCCCCTCACCCACATCGCACCAGGTCTGATCGGCAGCTGCACCAACTCCAGCTACGAGGACATGGGGCGCTCAGCCGCTGTGGCCAAGCAGGCACTGGCCCGTGGACTCAAGTGCAAGTCCCAGTTCACCATCACGCCAGGCTCCGAGCAGATCCGGGCCACCATCGAGCGGGACGGCTACGTACGTGCCCCTTTCCCTGCCCCCCAGTAATGAGGCTGGGAGTAGGTCGGGTCTGGCATCACCAGGCTGGGGCTGGCTCAGGCCCGTGGCTGCCCTGGGGGGCCAGTGCAGCTCTTGTCCCTCAGGCTGCTGCCCTCTCCCGTTAGGCACTAGCCAGCGCTCACCATTCCCCGCGCCCTCTCCCCCTACAGGCACAGATCCTGAGGGATGTGGGCGGCATCGTCCTGGCCAACGCCTGTGGCCCCTGCATTGGCCAGTGGGACAGGTGAGAGGCGCGTCTTCACTAGGACAGCTGAGTCCTGGGGTACAAGCCAGGTATGGGGCAGAGAAGAGACTGCAGAGGCTTTAAGCAGGCCTGTAAATAGAGAGCGCCCTGGGGGCCGCCGGGCTGAAACCTGCTGGCAGGAGGGAGCAGCAAGCCCCATCCTAATGGGGGTCTTTGCCCAAGACACTTGAGAGCAGGCAGTGGACCCGGTCAGGAAACAGGGCCTTGAGCAACCTTGGCCACCCGCGGCTTCCTCCTACTCTGTGTGGGTCCTGCAGTGGGGGCAACCTTTTCAGGGTCTCCCCATTTGCCCTCTTGCGTCACGGGAACCCAGCCCGCCTGGCTTTGGGGCAGGGCAGGTGACAAGACCAGGCATCCCTGACCCTGTGCTCTCTGCCCTGACAGAAAGGACATCAAGAAAGGGGAGAAGAACACAATCGTCACCTCCTACAATAGGAACTTCACGGGCCGCAACGATGCAAACCCCGAGACCCACGCCTTCGTCACCTCCCCAGAGGTGAGCCTGCCGGCGGCGCCCACGCCCAGGGCTGCCTCTGGGCCGCCAGGGAGGGGTCCCCTCCTCGGGAGGGGGTGGTCAGCAGGAACCAAGAGGCTCCTCACTCTTTGGTGCCCTGCCGGCCCTCCCGTCCCAGGAGGCGCATTAGTGCATTAGCGTCATGAGGGGCAGCTCCAGAACCACTGAGGAGTGCCAGAGGCCTGTGCCCGGCCGGGTCCCCTGCTACCCATGCCCCTGCCTGCTTGGATTGCCACAGCGAGTGGGAAGGCCCGCTGACGGGAGGTGGCCGCACGGCTGGGGCGGTCACCCAGGCACTTAGGTGTCCTGGCCTCTGCCGGTTGGCACACACGGCCAGCCCTCGCCAGTGTCCCTACGTGCTGTGTGGGCTGAGCGACACCCACTTCCTGGGCGCCGGTCTCACCTGGCGAGGCTTCTGCTGGGATGGCCAATGCTAACTGCAGGCGCCACTTCATCTCAGATTGTCACAGCCCTGGCCATTGCTGGCACCCTCAAGTTCAACCCAGAGACCGACTTCCTAACAGGCAAGGATGGCAAGAAGTTCAAGCTGGAGGCCCCGGATGCGGACGAACTTCCCCGAGCGGTGAGCCGTCACTGCACTTTCTGCGTGGCTGCCGGGCTGACGTGGGTTGCTGTGCGGTCTGGGGCTTTCTTCCCAGATGCCCAGACTCAGCCCAGCACGCCAGGCAAGGGGGGTGACTCCGCTAGTGGACAGGAAGTGGTGACGGTCGCTGGGAGGGAGGCCTGGGGCTCCCGGCGCTGGCTTTCTGAGCTCCCGTGCACGTGGGCAGTGAGGACTCGGTCCCTTCTGCTGCAGGAGTTCGACCCTGGGCAGGACACCTACCAGCATCCTCCCAAGGACAGCAGCGGCCAGCGGGTAGACGTGAGCCCCACCAGCCAGCGCCTGCAGCTCCTGGAGCCTTTTGACAAGTGGGACGGCAAAGACCTGGAGGACCTGCAGATCCTCATCAAGGTCAGCGCCAGCGGGCACAGGCCACCCTCAGGGCCAGCACTTCGGCTTTGCGCCCCCTGGCGGAGGAGTCGGGATCAGGACGGGCGCGGGAAGGAAGTGTGGCCACAGAGGAGCCGGAGCATCTGCGCCCTGGCAGAGCCGGGGTCGGGCCGGGGTGCTCAGCCCTGCTGCTCCCGCCAGAGGCAGCCTCCAGTGGGTGCGGATGGTGCCCGTGGCACAGCCAGGGGAGAGGCCCCTCTTGCTGACCAGGCTCCAGAGCCTCGCCCTTCAGTCGCCACTGGGCGGGGCGGGGTGTGTGTTTGGGAACCGAGCTGACAAAAGACTTCACAGTGTGGCCGGAGGCCTCGCACTCATTGGCCAGAGTGAAGCCCACGTAAGTCCCGAGTGGTCTTCCCACTTGGCATCTGACCTGCGTGCCCAGGCCTGAAGGCCGAGTAAGCAGGCTTCCCTGTCCTGGCAGCCTCTGCCCCTTGAGTCATGTCCCAGAGGCCTGTGAGGGGTCTTCTTGGGGCTGGGCCTGCAGCACGGGCCTATCCTGGACAGGCGTGTCCAGTGCTGGACCAGCTCCCCTGGTCCCCTTCTTGGGCACCGCTGCTGCCTCTGGAGGGCTTCTCCTCTCATCCGCCACTCCGGACCATGCCTGACCTCTGACCTCCACTCGTCACCCCAGGTCAAAGGCAAGTGTACCACTGACCACATCTCAGCCGCTGGCCCCTGGCTCAAGTTCCGCGGGCACCTGGACAACATCTCCAACAACCTGCTCATTGGCGCCATCAATATTGAGAACGGCAAGGCCAACTCTGTGCGCAACGCTGTCACCCAGGAGTTCGGGCCCGTCCCCGACACTGCCCGCTACTACAAGGTGGGTGGGGAGGTGCTCTGCACTCCAGCGGCACTGCGCGGGGCCACACCCTGTCACCCTGACCGAGGCGCTGGGCTCTGCCCAGCCTAGCCCTGGGTCCTCTTGCCCCAGCTGGGCACGAGGTGGTGGCACCTCCCGTACCCATCACAGACAGGCGGAGCCCTGCTCTGCCCACCTCTCTCCCCTGGGGACTGGCTTCACCTCAGTTCCCCTGCCCTTGGGGAGGAAGAGAGGCCTCCTCACCCTTGCCCTGGGGCCTCCAGAAGCCCTGGGCTAGCTGGACAGGGCCCAGCCTCCAAGCCTCACCCACTTGCTCGGCAGAAACACGGCATCCGGTGGGTGGTCATCGGAGACGAGAACTACGGCGAGGGCTCGAGCAGGGAACACGCGGCGCTGGAGCCTCGCCACCTCGGGGGCCGGGCCATCATCACCAAGAGCTTCGCGCGGATACACGGTGAGCTGGCGCCTGGCCCTCCCTGGCCCTGTCACCAGCCTGCCTGGCGGGCCATGTCCCTGGCTCCTGTCCCCACTGCAGCCCAGTCAGCCTCTGCCCCGGGTCAGATTTGAGTCTGACGCCCACAGCACCCATCTTGGGCAAGCACTGGTCTCACCCCCAAACTCACGCCTGCACCTGGAGCCCGGGGACCGCAGCCAGGGTTTCTTCAGGTGGGGGCATGTCAGAAGCCCAACGGCACTGCATAGGCCCTCGCGAAGGCCCTGCATCCAGGAGACGGGGCTAGGGCTGGCCCCACGTGGACTTGGAAGAGGAAGCTCTGGGCTGCTAAGGGCCCTGTGCGGAGAAGGGGAGACTGGGCCTCCACCCTACGCGCTGAGCAACCCTCTGCCTTCCAGAAACCAACCTGAAGAAGCAGGGCCTGCTGCCCCTCACCTTTGCTGACCCAGCGGACTACAACAAGATTCACCCTGTGGACAAGCTGACCATCCAGGGCCTGAAGGACTTTGCTCCTGGCAAGGTCAGGGGACCAGGGAAATGGGGAGGCCGTTTGTCCCGTGTCCCCCGGCTCTCCTGAGGGGAAGGTGGGGGGCAGCCACCTTGCTTCCGCTGTAACCTCTGTCCTCCAGAGAGAGGGAAGGGTCTCTCCAGAGATGAGTGGGCAGGCGGCTCAGGCCCCTCGCTGTCACCTCACTCGCCTGGCTTGGCGCTCAGAGGCCGACAGCCACGCCCAGCAGGAACCTTCTGGGTCTTGCTGCTGAGGCCCGAGCGGTGCCCCACTCCCGCCCTCCCACTGACACCCGCCTCCTCCTCCAGCCCCTGACCTGTGTCATCAAGCACCCCAACGGCACCCAGGAGAGCATCCTCCTGAACCACACCTTCAACGAGACCCAGATCGAGTGGTTCCGCGCCGGCAGCGCGCTCAACAGGATGAAGGAGCTGCAGCAGTAGGCTGAGGCCCACCCGCCCCTCGGGCCAGTCCCAATCCAGGTGCAGCGACTCTGCGGAACCGGCCTGACCCGGCCCACCGTGGCTTCCTGCTGGGACGCGTGGCCAGGCCTCCTGCACTCCCTCCCCTCAGCCCACGAAGTGACCCACGTCAGGGTTCTTAAAAGAATGTCGCGGCCCCGCCGTCGTCTTAGTTGGTTCACATCTTGAGCAGCTCCATGCAACTATTTATTTTTGATGACGGAACTCCCACCTAAATTTTTTCTCCTGTCTGATCATTTCACATGTGGCTGAAGGATTTTAGAGAACCTTCTGCTCTTGCAAGGAAAATAAGAACCTAAACCCAGCCAACCGTTGTGCACTGTGGTGTCTACGCTGTTTCGCCCTGGGTTCAGGGCGTGTCTGGAGGTGGGGTGAACCACCCCTCGGCTGTCCCCAAACTACAACTCTGGAGGCTCTCAAGGTCCCCCCACCTAACCCACTTCTGCACACCCCCAGACTTGGGGCACTTCCCCAGGGACAGGCTGCCCTGTGTGGGGTCTCAGCTGGCACCAGCCCTCACCTGGGGCCAGCCATGCCCAGCCCTCCCTGGCACCCCGCCTCCGCCCAGGAAGGGAGGGGGTGGTCCCTCCGAGGTCGGACCCTAGCTGCTGCTTGCAGTGGGCCACAGAACCCGGCCCGGAAGCCCAGCTCCCCGCCCCCAAGCCCGCCAGGGAGGGTGTCACCTCCACACGTGAGGGGTGAGCAGAGACGAGCCGTGGCCACTCGGCGACCTCAGACCACGACGGTGGCTGCCAGACAGGTGGCTCCTCCCCAGCGTTGCTGCCGTTGTTTATTCAGTGTCTGCTGTCGCCGAGTCACAAGTCCAGAGGGGCAAGCCCAGACGGCCACAGTCGGGGCCACCCACCCCGGCTACCCACTGCGCTCAGCTCCTCTCAGTGTCCATAGCTGCGCAGTTGACCCGGCTGTCCCTGGAGCCGGCCGCACCAGCTGCCCCAGGCCGGGCCGGGGCATGGCCAGCACGGCTAGCTGCTCGTCCACCAGGAGAGGAGGCCCAGCCCCGGCTCACTGATGGACCCCTGCCAAGGCGAGAAGAGGCACATGTCATCACCCCAGGCCTGCACCAACCTGGACACCCTTCAGCGCGCCCAGCAGGTCTGGCTAGCCTGGCCCCGAGGCTGGAGGGAAGTGGGAGTCACCAGCGCCCCAGGCTGGCGAGAGCCTGGGACTCCCCTTTGCAGCCTCCCAGGGCTAAGCAAAGCGAGAGCTGTTTGCTCAGGGTGTGCCCTGGGCACCTGCTCTGACAGAGCCGCCCAGGGCCTATCCTGCAGACTCCACGGGCAGGGCTCAGGAACCCCTCTTCTGTCATGTGTCACTGGCACTATGAGGGTCTCGGGCCATTGGTGTGGCATGGGATGGCCTCGACCGGGCTGCTTCAGGCCTTGCCCGGGCCCCACCTGCGCATCTTTCTCCTCAGAGGCCCGTCAGTGAGCGCCTTGTCCAGCTCCGGCCCAGGCCAGGGTCTGACTTCACGCCCTCCGAACAAAGCCTGAGGCCCGGGGGGAATGCACCCTGGCTTGCTAGGCGGGAGGCTGCTATGGGCAGAATCGCCAGGTCCAGGCTGCACCCCCACGACAGGCCCGGGGGTCTCGGCCTTAACCTTGACCCTCTTACCACAAGTGTGTATGGAGCCTCCTTCTTCGGCAGCTCGTCACCGGAAGAGGCGATCTCGGCCGAGCTGGGCCCAGTGGGGGACGTGTCCACAAAGCTCTCGTCCACCACACGGAAGCGGATCTCCTCACCAGTGTCCATGTACAGGTCATGCGCCCCTTCTTCCGTCTCGTATTCCCACACCCACACCTGCTCCGCCTCGTCACTGTGGGGCCCGGGGTCAAGGCAGCAACCAGGCATGGGGGAACCGAGTCCGCCCACAGCACCACCCCTGGGAAAACCACCCCCAAGGCGCTCACTTGGGCTGGGAAGTCCCAGGGAAAGGGGCCCAGGTCATGAGCAAGAGGCCAGGCAGGGCCAGGCCCGGGAGCCGGGACCCCAGCCAGGTACCCATCCATGCGCATCCCAGATGATGCCAGGGAGGCTCCGGAGTGGGGCGTGGGTCCCGCCTCTCCGCAGCTGGGGTCCTGTCCCTGTGAGGTCTGCTCAGCCTGTGTGTCCGCAGGCCAACTCCGGACTCAGGCCTCAGCTCCATCACCTAGCAGCTGTGGCCTGTGGCCTGACCCAGCCTCTCAGCTCAGGGTCCCCCTCTGGAACAACTGTGGCGAAGCCTTCCCCAGCAGGACTGTGTGGGGAGGTGACAAGACAGCAACACCACTAGGCGCTCTGAGCCTCGTGTGGGCCCTCAGCGTTGGCCAAGGCCGCCTGCCCTCTGCCCGGGGCTGGTGCCCAGTCAAGCTCGATGAGCCGGCAGTGCAGGACTTCCCTAGTTTCTAAGAGCTGGCGGGCCGGAGGCCCATGGCGCGGGAGGCCCAGCGGGGCTGAGTCAGGTTTTCTGACATGTTCTGGAATCACACACCCAGTCGGCTGTGGGCACGGGGCTCGCTCCAGGCCTGGCCCTGAGGAGCCACGCTGCCCTCTAGTGCCCAGTCAGCAGGATGGCAAGGACAGACAACCCAGGGCAGCAGGGCCAGGTGGGACAGGACCACGCAGGCCCCTCACAAGGGCTCACCAGGGGACGCTCCCGTGAGGAGTGAGCTTTGAGATGAGTCCTGAGGGGCGGCCCTTACAAGTGAGGTGAGCCAGAAGTGGACACAGGAGGCCCGAGAGCCCCGCGAGCTCACGGACTTGGAGACTGATCAGTACCACAGTCCACCTGGAGAGCAGAACTGCGGGCCGGAGGGGCAGGCAGAGAGCCAGCATCTCAGATACAGGACCTAGGGGCCACCCACAGGGGAGGACATCCTCTGGAGAGCCTGGGTGGCTGCGCCCAACGGAGCCCTGGGAGGATACAACTTGGCCGGCTGCTGCAAGGACTCCGGGGGGATGAGAATGTCATCGAAGAACCCTAGAGAGACTGAAAGGGACGGTGTGGGAGGGGGCAGACAGTCAAACCACCGGGGCCTGCTGCCCTGGAGCCAGGTCTCTGCCGAGGCCAACCCCAGCGCCTGAAAGGCCACCAGAGCCCGAGGCCCACCCTGCGCGCGAATGACAGGAGCAGTGGCCAGGCCCCCCTGCACCTGCCTGGGCCACCCTGGAGTCGAGTGATGGCCTCAGGGGGACCCCGCAGCTGGCCAAGGGCTGAGGGCTCCCTCAAGCACGAGCTCCTCTGACCCCGCCCCTGACCACCACCGGCCTGGCCACCTGCCCCACGAGCACCCGGACAGGCCTGAGGAGGCGAGGCCGCCGTTACCGTGCACTCCCTCCGGGCTGCAGCCTTTAATCTTGCCGATCAGAATCTCGTCCAGGAAGGGATGGAAGACCACGTAGCGGAAGTGGACTGCAGGAGGAGAGCACATCACGAGGCAGGCCCGTGAGGAATGGCTGCCCTGACCGGGGCGGCGCTCTGCGGGCGACCGCACTTGCCCGCCCGGGCCCCACCAGTCCTCCCTGGGACCCCACCCCAGCCTGGCTCCCAGCAGAGGCCAGCGGGGTGGGACTAAGGGCTGGCTGCCAAGTCCGTCAGCTGGGTCACCCCTGGGCCTCTCTGGGCATCCATGACACCAGAGTCAGGCCCAAGTTCCTCTGGGCGCTCTCCTTTCACCCTAAAGAGGGCAGCTGCCCCTGGCAGGGAGCCAGCCCCGAACAGCCGTCTCAGTGCTGCTGCGGCTGCTGCAGGCAGCGCTGTGACCTGGAACGGCGGCTAAAAATGCCCCGCGAGGGGGCGGGAGCAGTGGTAAGCTGAGGACGCGAGGCCCCGTTACCGTGCTCTCCCTCCGGGGGGTTTGCGGGTCCAGCCCAGGGGGGCCCCCACTCACCCATGCCCACACAGACTGACCAGCAGCTGCCATGGTCCCTCTCTGCCTTGCTCAAAGGTCGCCGGGGCAGCGGTCCCGCTTCCCTGCTCACAGCCACACGGCTGTCGGCCCTGGGGGCCCGAGTCTTTCCGGAGCACCACACGGGGTCCCAGCTGGGGTCGGCCTGAGCACAGGCTTCGGCAAGCAGCTCCCCGGCTGTCAGTCAGCCAGCACTAACCAAGGGCAGCGGCACCCCGCACCCCACACCAAGGTGCCAGGCCTGTGGCCCCACAGGCAAGAAGTGTGGGGCAGCTCCTGGCCCTCTGGGCCACACAGCGGCACAGCCTCGTGCTGACCTTGCAGAGCGCATGCGGGCAGCCGAGGGCCACTGACACACAGGACGGAAAGGTCCTGTCCCCCGCATGACGCGAGCCCCACGGGCCTCTACTGGGTCTGTGCCCGTGTGGGCACTGGGCCCACAGTGCCCCGTGGGACAACATGGGTCTGGGTCTGGGCCCAGGAGCTCCGGTCTGGAACCACCACAGCCAGGAGCCAGGTGGGCAGCCGAGGGCCACTCAGCAGACAGGTGACCAAGCAGGGTGCAGCCCTTGTCCTTGAGGACAGGGCTGACGGCCGACAGGGAGAACTCGCAACACTAGACCAAGTGCGACACGCCAGTGACGTGAGGACAATGTGCTCTACTTCAGTGACACCCAGAACAGGGACATCTCGAGCTGGGCGAAGGGGAGAACGAGGAGAGTGAGGTATGGGGTGAAATGTTCGGGATCGGTGGGGACAGCGCCCGGCTGCGTGACTGCACCCCGTGGGGTGAGTGGACAGGCGTGCGAGTTGTCAGTTCAACTGACAGATAAAAGAGGGCCGGGACCAGCTGCTGGTTAGCCATCCAGGGCAGGGCTGTCCTGGGGTCACGCCTGAGAACCCCACCTGAAGCTCGGGGGCCGTTTGGCCTGCAGGTGGGAGCCTGGAGTCAAACACTGACCAGTGAGGAGGAAGGCCCATGCCGGGGCAAGCTGTCCCAGCTGGGCAGGGTGGCCTCGGAGTAGTGGGTCTCTCCAAAGGACAAATCCCCTGTGACGCCGCCTGCATGAGCCCCTGGGGGAGTCAAGTCCAGAGACCCGTTTCTTAGGGAAGCGTCTGTTGGAACTCTCTGCCCTCTGGGCTCCTGCTGGGCCCTGGCGGCCTCCTGGCTCCATCTGGACCGCCCAGGCATCTGCACGCGAGGCTGCTGAGTGAGCTCGGAGGGCACCTCGAACGCGGCCTGAAGTTCCAACAGCATGTGGGGAGCCCCGAGGCTGGGGTCCGCAGGCCCTGGCGGAGCCCACAGGCCAACTAGGCCTGAACCAGCTCACGTTGGCCCAGGGCAGGCAGGAGAGGTTAAATCCCTGCCCAGGGGGCCCAGCCACAGCCCTGGGCTCTGGGCTGGCCGCCAGGGGCCTTCAGAAGGCGACGCCTCCCCTCTCCTCTCGGTGGGGACCCTTTCTCACTGCGGCCCGCTCCTCGGTAGGCGGCAGTGCGGGTCTCCAGCCTGCGCCCTGCCGGGGCAATGGGCAGTGCGCGGAGGCACAATCGCGCGTGCGCACTGGGCGCGCCATGTTAGTACCTGGACCTGCGCCCAAGGCGCGACTCCGCGGAACAGGGGCGATGCGCCCGCCAGAGCCTCCTGGCAAGCAGTCAGGCACCCCCCAGCCCTGGGCAAGCAGGCCCGGAGGGCCACCTGGCGGACCCGCAGAACCAGGAGACACAATTCTGACCCGGAGCCACAGGGCACCGGGTCGGGTCCTGAGAACCTGGCGTCAGTCAGCTTGCACACAGCGGCCATGAGATAACCGCACCCACAGGTGAGGAAGCAGGCACGGGGCACTCGGGGTCCACGCGGGGCTGGGGTGTTGGCCTCCTGAGCGGGGACAGCAGCCTCTGTACACCACACTTAACCCTGGGTGACCTCACGGAGGGTGCGTGCCTGTCTGATCTCCCCCCAGACGGAGCAGCCTCAGAGCAAGAGAGGCCTTGAGCCCTTAGTCCACCTTCCCTCCTTACAGGTGAGGAAACGTCGGTCACCCAGTCACTTCCTGGCGGTCAGGTCTAGGCCCCAGGGCCTCTGGCCCGCGGTCAGGGCTCCCACCACCAAAACCTGAGCCCCAAGAAACTCAAGGCCCCAGAAGAGGGGCACCCACCTTTGGTGTGTGATGCGCCGTCCCCTGGGAACACGTAGGCGTCCTCCAGCTTGGTGATGTCAAACAGGCAGATGCAGAGCCCCACGCTGTAGACGACCTGTGCGTCGTGCACACTCAGCGACCCCGCGGCCAGCCCCAGACGCCCTCACCCCACGGGGCGGGCTGATGAGCCCATTTTATAGCTGGAAATGAGCTGGGGTGATGCCAGGGGCAATCACGGGTAAGAGGCCTCTGGAAAGAACTGGGTCTTTGGTGCCCAGACAGACCCAGGTTGCAATGCGGCGCCACCACCTGCTAACCTCCTAGGTCAAGGTCACTTCTCTGAGCTTCATTTTCCCCCTCTGCAAAGACGGAAATACTGAATATAGGGTTGTGAAATACAGAGAGATAACAAGCTATTGGCAAATCAGTAGTTTTAAGTAAAACCCTCAGAAAAGGAACCCAGATCTCTGCACCCTCATTCCCTTCTGTGACCTCAGCCTCTATCAGAGGGACTTGCCTCCTCTCTAGCGCCAGCCAATCTTCCTCTTTCTGTCTCCTGCTGTCCAGCGAATGAGACCGACGCCCCTGCCCTGCAGGCTGTGGGGTTCCGGCCCCTTCCCAGCCAGCCTGAGCCACGCAGGCCTCCTCCAATCAAAGACAGGTGCCGGGGCCCCGGGGCCTTTGCACACCTGCTTACTGTTTGCACAGCCCTCTCTCACCTCAAAAATGAATGCTATGAGGTCTTTACCATCAGAGCTCAGCTTTAGCACCAGCTCCTCCTCACAAAGCATTGGTCTCCCTCATTCTTTCCTTTGTCCCATAAGCTTGTAAATGCCCCAACTTGTCATCACACTCTCACAGCTGCTCTCTCCACTGCTCTATAGGGAAAATCTTGCCTGCCTTATTCAGTCAGCAGACAATTCCAGAACATCTACTGTGTGTGTGCTAGGCTCTGGCTGTATGTGGGGCATACTTCAGGCAAGAAGCAGGGAGAGAAAGAGGACAACTACACAACAAAAAATAAGAAAAAAGAAAAGAACTGTGGTACATGCTAAGAGGGGACACTAATCGGAGCAGGTCTCGGAACAGGAGGGGGGGAAGCACAAACATTTTCGCAGGGATTAGGGGATGGCCTCTCGACCCAACTCTCCACAACCAGTGCCCTGCATCTCACAAAACCAGGGGGGAGGGGGCTGTGAAGATCACCTTCAATTTACAGGTTGAAACGCGGCCCAGCGGGTAGTGAATGCCAGACTGCCAAGCAATCTGGACGTGCAGAATCCAGCTAGCATTTGCCAAGTGTAAGAGAGCCCGGTTTCTCTTTTTGAGTGCCCCATGCCACACACCCGGGAGACTGACCTGAGTCAAGCCCAGCCAGGCCAGCTGCGGGTGGTGCCAAGGCACGCCCCCCCCCACCCAGGTGCCAAGGCTGGCGCGACCCCAGGGCGCTGTACCTTGTTGGCCAACTTCTTGTTCAGCTCCTCGGCAATGGAGTCATTGAGCTTCCTCTCAAACTGCCAGGGCGGGATCCGCACGGTGTCCACCATCTCCACCAGGACGAACATGCCGGCCTGCGCTGGGGACTCTGGGGGCGCGGAGGGTCCGTCACCGGGGCCTGGAGTGCTGGCGATGCGCGAAACCCCGCCGTCCCGCCTCAAGCGCTAAGACCCGTCCGCGCCCGGCCGGCAGTGGGGCAGCGCGGTGGGGCCCGCGGTGCCCCGTGCTCCGCTACTGCGAAAGGGGAAACTGCGGCTCAGAGGGAAGGGTCCCCGGCCAGGGATAGGGGTACGCGCCCCCGCTGCCAGGCCACGCGCCACGCGCCCCGCCACGCACCGCGCTCGCACGCAGCCGCCGGTTGCAGGACTTTGGGTGAGATTCCGAATCCGGTCGCTTCCGGAGAGACCACCAATAAGAAGCCTCGGCCGCTGGATGGGCGGGGCTTCCACTGCTCCGGGGGCGGGGCCTGCGGGCGGGGCCTCCCTCTTCCGGCGGCTGGGAGCCGCCCACACTCGGAAAGCGCCTTCAGGTTGCCAGGCGACCCCGGGCCTTTCCGGCCGGGCCACCGCTGTGGTCTCTGTGCCGCGCGCTCTTCGCGGCGTCGAGCGTCCTCCGCACCGCAGCCAGCATGATCCTTTGCAGACGCAAACACAGCGAAGCCCGTCCGTACCCCAGACCGGAGCAGTTGTCTAGAGGCGGGACCTTTCCGGGGTGCAGGAATGTTGGGCATCTTTTAGGAGTTGTACGCAGACGTATATACGGTTCCCAGAGCTCACAGGACTCCGCGTTTTCAAGAGCTTTGCATCTAGCTGTAGGCTACCCTGCCTCTAAAACTGCTTAGCAGTGGGGGGAATGTGGGTGCCCTGGCCCAAGTTCATCGCAGAAGAGGGTGCAGGAGCCAGAAGAGAGTGAAATTGATGCTTTTGAGGAATCTAAAGTATTTCAGCTCATTTATAAAGGAGACAGAACTGGTGAGGTTGGAGACTTAGGCAGGGCCGAGATCACAAGGGCCTCACCGTTTTAATATTAATTTCTATCGTCGCAGTAGCTAGCTAAGGATCAACTATCATGTGATCGTTTATTATTCATTTTCCTCCTCTAATGCAGAGAGGGCAAATAGGTCACTCAAGGTCATGTGGCTCCTAAGTGGAAGAGCAGGATTCAGGCTGCAGGGCCACCAGCCCACCACAGCTGTCACTCACAGGGAGGCCTCCGGAGGTTAGACCTGGGGGAGGACGCAGGACACATCGGTGGGTGGCAAGGGGCAGGTGGAGACCAGGAGGACATTACCAGGCGGCTCCTGCGAGAGGTGGCTGAGCAAGGCTGGCTTGGAGGCCAGGCGTCTTCAGGGGCGAAAAGAAAGGACAGCTCAGTGGCAGAGCCTGGGCACAGTGGGGGGATCCAAGCCTGAGGCTGTGGCCAGGGCCGGTTCTGCAGTTAGTGTTTTGGGCTCCCAGGCTGCCTTTCCGGGATTCAGCTCACGGGGATTTGTTGGCACGTTTGGTTTACTCACTGGTGAAAGGGGGGCCCAGGCCTTTGTATTCATTCTCCATGGGCGATTGGGGCAACTTGCAGAAACACACCAGGGGGCTTGGTCTGTGAACTCCATGGCAGCAGAGGGCTTCTGTCCCTTCTGGCCACATGCTACGGTGACCCCAGTCAGGGCTTGTAAATGTGTGTCATTTGAGTGAACAAAAGGAGTGCCAAGTGATTGCTAAGAGTGTGGGAGTGAGGGAGAAGTAGGCCTGGAAACTAATGAAGGCAGGAGGAGGAGGGCGGAGCGGATGTTAAGGACAAGTTCCCACGCTGGAGCACACTAGCTTAGCCACGGTGCCAGGCGACAGCCCTGGCGTCTCGGTTCCCTCTCTGTGAGATGGAGGCTAAAACGGCACCGCAGTATCGTCCGTCAGTGGAGGGATGATAGAGAAATTACACGTGTGCGGTGTGCCCTCCACGCAGGGCACCAGTGAAAAGGTCCGAGGTCGCTGCACTGCTCCCGGTGGCGCCGGGATACACGGATAAGAAAAGATGAGATGCAAAACGGGGTGGGGGGAGGGAAATGCACGGGATGATGGTGATGGCACATGGGTGACTGGGTGATGGGAAACCCGCGGGGATTGCAATTGAGATGGAAAAAAAATGTACAAAATGATGTAAAAATAAACTTTTGTCATAAACAAAGAAAAAAAAAAGAAAAGAAAAGATGAGGTGCAGAGCGTGGCACGGAAGTCCCCAGCCAGCACCGTGTGCACTGCTATGGCGGTGATGCATAAACAGCTCTGGGAGGGCGTCTGCAGAGGGAAGTGGGGCTGAGGCTGGAGCTGAAGCTGTTAGCAAAACCCCTTAAGAGTGATGCTTGGAATCTTGAGACTCAAGTACCTATTCAAAGGTGAATGAAATTGAAATGTTACAAAAAGCCATGGAGGGCCCTAACTGGTGGTTGAAGCACAGCACCTCGGAGCTGGCTGCAGCCGCTTGAGCAAGAGTTCGATCCCCAGCCAGGGAGTGACCACGTGGCGTGACAGACCTCTTCTGTCTCCCCGCTGCTCCCCTCAGCAGTGTACCTGTTGGATCTGCCTGTTCTCCTCCTGTTTCTGGTGAGTCCTCTCACCGCTCCTGCCCTCTGGCCTGTACCCCAGTTCTGTATGCATAAATCAATAAATCTTTTCTAAAAAGCCGTTAAGGTTTTTTACACCTTAAAGAAATCTCTGGGGCCCCTTTCCCTCCAGTTTCCTGCTTCTTTAGTCAGCAAATCGTCTTGAAGGCGTCTCCTGCCCTGGCTCTAGTGGGTCCTCTCTTCAGTCTGCTCCTGGCAGGTTTTTGTCCCCTCCGGACTAGACTGCTTCCTCAAGGTCATCAAGGTCTAGGCCCCCAGAGCAGGTGGGAGCTGACCACTCCCTCCCTCCCCAAAGCTCTGGCCACCTACCTACCAGGAGCCCACACTTCCCCATTCTCCTCCCCCCTTTTCTTCCACTATTGTTGAGGCCTGGGTGGGGGGCCCGGCCTCGTGACCTCATGTGATACTGTGATTTGAGCAGAGTCCTCTGCCAGCCCCCCAGGTCCTGCACCGGCTCCCTCTGGCCACCTGCCTTCTCCTCACCCTGACAGACACTGCAGCTGAGGCCAAATGGAGCCCCCAGTCGCGGCCTCCCGCCGACACTCCTCCATCCTGCTGGTTGCTCCAAACCCAGCAGTGGCTCCTGACTCCCCTTCTCTCACACCCCGCGTGTGAGCCCTGAACAGATCCTCCAAAGTGCAGCCAGCACCCCTCCCCATCTCCACGGCTGGCAGCAGCGTCCGCCCTCTCCCACGCTGCCCTCTGGCCCATGGTCTGTTCTCAGAGCCCCCTCAGTTCCCGCCAGAACTTCTGCTCCTCCGGACCCGCAGTGTTCCTCCTCAGCCGGGGAAGGGCCAGTCCTTAGCCTGCTCGCCCTGGGGGACGGGGCACTAGTCGCCCCTCCGTCACCCCTCCGACTGGCCCCCCTCCCGACTGGCGGCCCAGCCCCTATTTCTCAGACGCCCAGACTCCTTTCCCATGGCCCTGCCGGGTGCTGCTCCTCTCCCTGGAACTGTCTTCCTCTCCCTCCCTCCTGTCTTCATCCCTCGCCAGTTCCAGGTCCTGGTTTTAATGTCTGCCACCCTGTGACGCTTCCTCTGACCTTCACCCCCCATTAAAGTGCACCCCCAACCACCCACAGCCTCTGTCACCTTCAGGCTTGTCAGGCTGGTTCAGGGCCTCTCCTTGATGGAAGTGAGGACGCCAGGGTTTTGTGTTGGCTTCACAGGCACACGGAGCCAGGGCTGATATTTGTTGGGTGACTGACTTAAAGAGGGATGAAAAAAGATCAGTGCTGAGACATGCCTGGTCCTGTGACCCCTCCCCCCCCCAATGACAGAGGAATCTGGTCCTGAGCTTGCTGGTGGCCAAAGCAAGGGCAAAGCTCCTCAGAGACGGTGTGGAAACTTAAGCCTACAACCGCAGGGGGAGGTCCAGATGTTCTGGGGCCTCGGAGGACTCCCGGGTTCTGCGGGTGGAGGCCCTCGGAGCCCACGGCAGGGCAGCCAACGGGCCCAAGCACTTTTTTTTTCAATTTATTATTTATGCACACAAGAACTGGGGCCAGAGGTGGGGGCGGTGAGAGGCTTTACCAGAGACACGGTGTGGGGAACAGGCAGATGGACTGAAATCCACGGCTGAGGGAGCAGCAGGGAGACAGGAGTGGTCTGCTGCACCCTGGGGTCACTCCCTGGCGGGGGTGTGGGGCGCGGGGCGGTGCCACGTGGGCTGTGGACAGCTTCATAGTGCTGAGTCTCAGCACCTGCACCACCAGGGAGACCCCTCTTTCCTGCTTCTTCTAGGGCTGGCGTCTCCCGGGGAGACTCAGCCTCAGGCCCTCCTCAGAGCCGGCCTCCCACAGGGCCCCCACCCCGTCTGTGTGCACCCTGCTTCTCGCGCACGTCCAGATTGCAGGTTGTGCTCTGTCTCCTACATGAGACGCCAGCGTCACAAACTCAAGGAGCCGTCTGTCCTGCCCACTGTGGTTTGAGCCTGGCCATCTGGCGCCTAGTCGGCCACAGGCGTTTGCTGCATGTACCAGGGCAGGGACACAAGGTGTGGTCTGAGGTGCAGGAAAAAAGGGTGGCGGCAGCTGCACCTGCGGTGACTGGGGAGAGAGGCAGAGAACCGCTCTGACCTGCTGGGCAAGATGGTCTGTCCCCTGCGAGGAGCGAAAGGTGCTCCCGGGCCGCAGCGAAGAGTGGAGGGAAGCGGGTCCCGTCGTCGGAGCCCCCCGGTATGACACCCCTCGGGGCTGCCCAGACTCGCGGACTGTGGTCCCTGTCACCAGGGGAATCACGACACTTTGGCGGGGTCCGTGGGAGCGGGCCGCGGGCTCTGGCGAGGGAGGATTCTGAGCTGAGCTTTTCAATTCTCAGCTTTTCACAAAAATAGCCCCACGGCGAGCCCCTGGTCGCAGCAGATTTCTTTGTTACTCAGAGGCTGGTGGGTGGGTGGGTGGTGCCACGGCTGCTCGTTCCTGAATGAACAGCTGTGCCCTCACGGCTGTCAGATCCGTCATAACACGCCTCCAGCCCGCCGCCTTCATTCGGGCCCAGCAGCTCTGTCCACCGACAGCACAAGCGCGGCCGGCAGGGAGGCCTGCTCTTGGCCCAGGCCTGGGCTCTGTCCACCAGGGCCAGGCCCCGCCACTGGCCCTGTCTCCCGGCCTGCAGCATCCCAGTCTGCCCAGGCTCCCCTGCCCCAGCCTTCCCGCCATAGGTCCCTCTCCCCTCCATGTGTCCTCTCTAGACTGACCAGCCTGGCTCCTGCTCCTCACTGGACTTTAGCTGAAGTCCTCCCTGGCCCCCGCTGCTGACCGGTAGGTTTGTAATCC